ATTTTATTTGTTGGGTTTAATTTAATTATTGTTAGTTATTTTATTTAATAGATTTTAAGCCCAATCATTTGTTCTAATTAGAGCTTTAGTATTCATATCTTTTTTTTATCTAAATGTTAGACAATATTTGAAGAATTGAAATTGTAGACTTTTTCAACCCTCATTCTTTCTTTTCTTCAACATTTTCTTCTTTCCCTTTGGTTTTTTCTTCTTAGCTTCTTCTTTTCTTTCTTTTTGGTTTTAAATTTATTTTGTCTCGTATCAACTTTGGTATTGTAGCATAATTTTTTAATTGTTTTTATAATTAATAGATCTATTAGGGCTTGTGTTGAATCATAATCAATTGTTGATTTAACATTGAAAAAAAAAATCTTTCTGGTTATAGCTTAAATAAAAAAAAATTTGTTCATCTTCAACATAAACCTTTGACAGCCGCAATAAATTTTCATCTTCAGCAAGAACAAAGGAACTGCTATCACAGTTTGTCAAGAGAGATTAATTGACACAACCACATCAACACCACATCACAACACACCGGCATGTTAGTGCCATGTCAACATACACTAATATGTCACCAACACATCAACACATGTGCCATGTCAGTGCCATATAAGCCAGTACTAACATGTCAACACCACATTAGCTAGCCTTCATTATATCAATAGTTTTCTTCATGTTAATAACAATAGTTTTCAATATCTTCTCACTAAGAAATCTAGTTAATAAGTCACTTTACTTTTTAATACATTGAATTTTATTGTTCTAGTTTTACATTTGGTATTCAACATATCATTAATAGTATTTTTTTTTGTGCCTAAACAAGATCTTATATTGAATTATACTCCTATATTTTTGTTCTCTTTATATCTTTTCCATTCAAATTTAGTCATGAGCACTTTGTATTAACTATAGAGTTTATTGAAAATGGTGAAACATTATGACTTTATTTGATTAATTGTTTATACTTAAAGGTCTAGTATTGTATTCTTAAATTTTCTAAGTGTTGTATGTTGATTAATATCCACATTAAAAAAATAAAATTAGTTTTATTTTTATAATATGATTTCACTTGTAAGAATCATATGTGATCTCAATTAAAATTTTAAATTATTATTGCATGCATTTATATCATGATTATCTAGTGTCCAAACTTCAATCCACATTTACCATGGATCTGACCTATAATAATATTCTTAGGGCCATTTAAAGGGAGCTGCAAACTCAGATAACCATCATGTTTAAAAGAATTGAACCATATAAGAATTTTTGAATAAAGCACCCAAAGACCAATAAATATCATAAGAATAATCATTATAAACAAATTCACTTAGAACATCGTCAACATTTAGATTACTATAAACACAATAACCTTAATAAGCAAGTTATGAGCTCTAACAAAATAGAAACCCTCAATTTTGATAGTCATTATGACCGTTGGATATTTCATATATAGATTTGTGACATGGATTAATTTTTTGAGTGGAACAACTTGTCCAGTAATAGGAGAATTAAATTTGCTAAATGATAATCATTAACGAAGCTCACTTTTATCAGGGAGATGTTGAGGACTCTTTAGAAAAAAAAGATGTAAACCTATCATAACTTATTGAACCAAAATGAAACAAAAACTACATGAGAAATACTGACCCTAGTCTTATAAGATTAACTCTTATATCAATGGAACAATCTAATACAATGGAAAAGTTTGTCAATAAATATATACTCATAATTTAATTATTACATGATGAGATGTGCCATAAGGTAAAAAATAAAATCATGACTTTATGTAAATTTTATAAAATTTAAATGATGATTTTAGAAAATAGGAGGCTCATAGGTGTTTTCACTATTAATTAAGCCTATATTATAAAGCAAGATAATGAGTTGTTTATAAAGAGTCAATGGATAAAATATCAAGACTCTTATAGTACCCTTTTTAGATATCAATTTAGGAATGATGGTTCTTTGTTAGGTACTCTATCATATAGATCTAATTCTAATAGTGCCTAAATTTATAAAAAAGATAAGGAAAAAAAGTCATTAATAAAATGTGTAGGATAATTTCATAGGTTTAGTATGCTAACTATCAAGGTTTTGATAATATATTTTTCAACTACACCTCTAACTACCTGATCATCTAAGAACATAAGGATATAGGTGGGAAAAAAATTATTATGTGCAAGTGTATAAACTCAATCCTAAGAATTGTAGTGACCTAGATGAAGAGGATGTGCAAGAAGAAGGAATTAACATTATAAATCCAAATGAGTCTAAAAATAAGGGTAATAAAAAAAAATGTTTGGTTTGGTGGTAGAGGAAGAAATTTTAGGAAACTTTTTAGAAAAATCATCTGAAACGATAAATATGATCTTAGAAGAGTCTCATGATATTAGTCCTTTTAAACCACTTGATTTTCAAACCCATCATGCTTGACATCCAATACGTCATAGGTTTAAAGCAACATGTTAAGTTTCTTAATCCTTTTCCCGTAACACATGATGAGTGTCACACCCGATATCATGGTGGCCTTAAAAAAATTTTGAATTTTTTTTTTTTAAAAGAATAGATTTCTAACATCTTGTTCTTAGAAGGAAAATGTCTTGTTTAGAAAGTTATCACATAATATTATGATCATTAGAAACCTTAACCGATCAACAAAGATTCTATGGTATAAGATTAATTACCTTAAAGGAAAGACGTTATCACCTCTAAAGCCGTTTATATAAGGTAGGCTACATTGTTAATTATATTCTCAACTCTAGCATCAATGAATATTCGATGAAAAATACTTTCAATTCAAGTGTTGATAAGTACCATATAAAAAATATTTGATATTCTTGACTTTGGCATCATTCAATATTGAGGTTCAAAGTTATTTCTAATTTTGGTATAAATAGTCATAACTTCAGCGTTAGTAAATATTAAATGTTGGTGAATATTAAAAGTATTCTCAATTCTAACATTGATGAATCTGGATATTCTTAATGCTAATATCAATGAATATTATAAATGATATTCATAATTTTAATATTGATGGATATCAATCGAAGTTGGTATTCCTTAGAAGTTTATTTTTCTCAAGCATGAATAACAAATATTTTTGAATCTAAAAGACAAGGTTTTTATTTTGTTATTTTTAGAATTTAGGAATGTGAGCCTAATACACCTTTTAATTGTAACCAAAATCAATGGATTTTGTAAACTTGTTATAAAATCCAAATATCCATGCAAAATATTTTTGTATATATATTTTTTTATCTATAAAATGCTAAAACATGCAATTTTGGAAATTGTTTTTGAAAATTCTAAAGAAAACAAGCAGGATCAAATTATATCTAAATAAAAAAAAATTAACACCAAAGTGATGGTGGTAATATGATAACTAAGGGAGAGGAAATGAAGTTGATTTTGGTAGGGTTAACAATGGTAAAACGTGATACGCAATGTTAGGAAATGAAAATATGAATTTATGTTAGAAGAGTGGAGAATTTTTATTTTTTATTTATGCCCCCCCGGGCACCTTTTTCTTTTTTGTATTTATTAAATTATAACACAAGCATCTAACAATCCCAAACAAACACAAACCCTATTTTCTTTTCAACTTTAAATTTGATTTAAATTTTAAAAATCAAAATTAAAAATGAATTTATTTAATAGTTTGTTCAAACAAAAACACATTATAATCCTTAATTTTTTCAGGTTTAGAAAATCACACCCTTAATAAGTGTTGGTCCCTGATTTTTTAATTTCTAAATTTAAACCTCTTGAAAAAATTAAATTAAAGCAAATAAGTTCAAATATAGGTTATGACAATAAAAAAGATAAAGATAATCTTAATTTACTAGGTTGTGTCCAAACTATATTGATTAAGGCTTAAAATAGTTTTTGTTCTACTTAAAACCTCGAATCATATAGTGTTTGTAGTTACAAACCTACAAAGTTTGTAAATCTTCTTCCCATGTCAATTTACTCTAAAATGTTTGATTCAACTTAGTCCTTTGAATATAGAGTTTATAAGTTGCATGTTGAGATCATAAAAAAATTCAAGAAAGTAATGAATAATACAGATTTAAAGCTGATTTATATATGTATTATGATGTATTTAATGTTGAAGATTATTTTGTGATACAAATTAGCCCTGAATGATGTTCTTTGAAAATCAATCATAAATTTCAAATGGGTAATATTAGATCATTCAAAATGTTACAAATGATTGAATCAAATAGTTATGTCATTAAACTGCTATAAAACTTTAATATTAGCTCTACTTTAAACATGAAAGACTTTGTTCTATATAAAAAACAACTTATCTCTAATGCTTATTTTGAAAACCCTGCCCTATTATTATTATCTTTGGCACAAAATGAACATATTAATGTTATTTTGCATGCACAAGTTGTTTTCACTAGAGATGCTGAACTTTAACGAATTCTAGTATATGAGTTAGACGATCAAATTCATATTATACTTAAATTATCAAATAAACTTCACAGTAACTTGATCATGATCTTTTTAGGAGTGGTATTGAAGCTACCTTAGACAACACTTGACGGGGTCAACCTTATTCAACCTCAAGAGAGTTGGTTGAGACACTTAACTCAAGATATTATTTATACACTTGTATGATCATAGATAATAAATAATAACCCTTATTTTTGTGAGATTAGGATTTACTTTATATTTGGGTTCAATTTATTTAAATTTTTAGTTGAGATTTATTATTCAGACTTTATTTGTTGAGTTTAATTTAATTATTATTAAGTATTTAATTTAATGAGCTATAATCTCAATTATTTGTGTTAATTAGAATTTTAATATTTATATCCTATTTTTTCAAATATTAAACAAGTTTTTATGAATTAAATAAAATTTACAAGTTACATACCTTTTCAACCTCATTCTTTCTCTTTTTTAGCCTTTTCTTCTTTTTATTTGGCGTTTTCTTCCTTTTCTATCATCTTTAACTTCAAATATCTTTCTTCATGCATCAGTAACACTAATTAATAGCAAGGATTGATAAGACTTTAAATACATCACAGATCCACCATAAAAAAATTATGTCTATTTACATCATAAATACATATTAACTCGAAAAAAAGAAAAGGTAAAAATATATAAAGGAGAAAACGCAAAAGGAACGACAATTGTCATTCATAAAACCAGGCCTGATCTATAGTTCTGCACTATATGCAAAAGCAAACCACCACTCCACTTGCACAAAATCAGTAATGAGCATAAAAACACATCCTTTCTTATCTGAAACAAAAATGACTGAAAGTAGGATCAAGTCTTTGCGATTTATAATTTTGCTTCGTACTAAGATGCCAAGTGTTCACGTTAAGTGTTTGCTGCATCAGATTTAATGCTTCTCTCAAGCGTTGCCCGTTTTTCAGCTGGAGGGTAAGATAATCTCCGTGCTGTTGGATTTACTCTCCCATTGGACAATGATGGCTTGGATGAAACTGGTGTTTTTTTGGTTTGCAACTTTGTGTTTTCATCAACCTTTTTAGCCTGCTTGCTCTTCACTTTCTTTGGACTAGAAGACTTCACAGGGACCCGGCTTTCCCATGGACGAGCAGCAATCCAGCGTTCCTTCCAACTCCAGCCCCAGTTTGCTTTCCCAAGTTCAAAATTAACAAGCCCGAGGCTATGACCAGAGCTGGCCCTCCACTGTAATTCATGGGATTTTTGTGGTCATTTCCAATTTGTTTTTGCCCCTTCCAGGAAACTACAATGAAAAAAACATTTTTGGGATTTCAAATACCTGATGAGAAAAGGCATATGCCATCGCCCGTTCCCGCTTAACTGCTGCTTCTTCCCTCAGATGTATTCTTGCAAGAGTTTCCTCCATTGTATCAGAGCCACCGCACCATTCAACCTGGCATTCATTTCAATCAGTACTCTTAAAGAGAGACGGGATCATATAATAATAGGAGTGGAGAATAATTTGTTGACATCAACAGACTACAGCTAAAAAGTTAAATTCCGAACATTCGATTCGTAATGAAAGAGAAATAAATGACCTTCATCATTATTTTGTATTCTCTGCGGGTAGACATATGAACAATCTTAAAACCGCAGAGAGTGACAAGTCTTAAGGAACCAAATTCCATGGATGTGACTGCATATAGTATTTCTACATCAACCTCTCCTTACAACAAAAACTTACAACGTCCATTAAATCTATATCAATACAAAAGAAAATCATTGTTTTAGTTTGATTGATTGTTTAAGCATTGAAATTATATCCTAACCTCCAGATCATGAAGCTTTGCCTCAAGTTTTAGTTGATTCTCTAACTTCTTCTGTCTTAACCGGCTTTCTGTAACCATACAGAGTCTACGGGCTCTAATCTGGGCCTGTATTTGGCTCCAAGAATGAAGGTAGTTCAAAGTAGTTGCAGCTTGCTTTTTGACAGAATAATTTTTAGTGATGATCTGTAACCTCACAGTACCTTTCAAACGGCGAAGAGTTTTCCTAGCCTGCACCATTAGGAAATGATTTAATGAACTAGTGTCCATTCAAATATGCATGTCTTTCCATTTGTATGAATATGCATCCATGTGTTGCACAGGGAGTACAGACAATGGACATACCATATAGGCCCTGAATGCTGTTTGAATCTGAGTGGCAGCCACATCCTCGACTGGCATGTCAATAAATCTGGGATTGGCCCTACTGGAACCATTTGCAAAAATAGCAGATTCTTTTCGCAGCTTGTTCTTCCATTTGAAGCCATTTGATTTTGCAGAAGTTGTACAGCCCTGTTCAGATTGCAGAAACAGATGTGGTCGCATATAATATGTTAAAAAAGAAGAACTTTCTTCACCACTATCCTAATAACAACAATTCCAACAATATACGTAACAGCCTTGCAATAGTCTTGAATCAGCAGTAGGTTATAATAAAAGAATTGAATGGCCAAATTACAATAAATCTTTTCAAGGTAAAGGATATGGATTCATTATGAAAATACAAAGAAGAACAAAATGCATTGACAGCAAATTTGCTTTGGATGATTCAATACCTTTGGTTGTTTTGAGCTATCATCCTTTACTTTCTTTATGCTAATCATTGTCTTAAACCAGTCCCCAGAACCCATTGCTGATGCCAGATGTTTGTTTCCAACTTAACATGAACCTGGCAGTAAAATACAGCAGCACCAGCATTATGTACATTTTGCAAAGCTTTTGTTTTTCTTTTCTACAAGCAACATATTGGTAATGTAACAAAGCATTCAAAAACATCCTTTTCTTCCATTACGTGGTTAACCAAACAGACAGTCATGTGTGAAATTGAACTGGAAGACATACATAACCATAGGCAATCCGGGGGGAAATATCAGAAGCAGTGGAAAAAAACAAAATTGTACCAAATACTGCAGTATTGAAAATGTTGGTATCTGAATGTTATACCTCTCAAAGGAATTTTGATTTCATATGGTTACACAATCATTTGATCATGAAACTAACAGCAGAGTTCCAAAATATTCTATCATAGTCCATCTCATTACCTTGCAACTAACATTCATTCCTCTTGTCTCCCAACCAACAAGGTAGAATCCCACAAACAATCTCTCTATCCATCAATAAAAACACATTAACTTTCAAAAGAAACTAAACTGCAGCACCCACAACAGGGGAAATTTTTTTTTCTTTTACCATTCAAGAAACCATTTTTTAATACTTGATCACATTAAGCAACAACCAGATTCAAAACAAATCAGATTGAGACAAATTAATTCAACAGCAACAATAACACCCAGATCTCACCCCATCTTTCTTAGTCAACAAATGGCTGTCCTCAAGTCACACTGGTCAATCTAAGGTGAAAGTAAAACAAAACTTAAAGCCCAAAAAGTGTTCTTTCACAAAGAAGAAAACAGAAAAACAAAATCTTGGCAAGTAGACATACCAGAGAGGTGAGACCTGTAAGGAAATGGGCAGTCAAGTTTGTTGGAGGAGAACAAAGCAGCTGGTGACAATAGTACTTTCAGTGAAGAAGAAGCGAGGCCCTGAAAAAGAACAATAAAGGGCAAGAACAGAAGTGGGTGTGGAAATGTGGATTACTGTGGCCCATGGCCAGCATTTTATTTTATTTTTTGCTCCAGAAACATTCACCAACAGATATTTGACAATTTTTGCGAATATAAACAATACCATAAAAATCCCATTGCCCTTCAATCAAGGACTCAGCAAATGACAAGGTTGATTGTCATATGTGGGTGTTGGCTGGTGTGTTTTTTTGGGTTTGAATAATTCAGCAGTAGAAGGCTAATAATGACAGCAGAACCAACAATGACAAGGTTTGATTATGATGGCTGATTGGTTGTTTGCCTCTTCAATTTTTTTTTTTTACATGTTGTTGTTTTTAGTCCCTAGATTTGTTCAGTTTAATTTATTCCATGTAATTTCTTGAGCAAAATACGTACGAGTTCATCAAGTAAGGTTCAAAGGTCTAATCACAAAGGAAAGAATTCACAGCCAGTGAATTGCAACTCAGCTACGTCAATGTCCACCTACAAAATACGAACCCGTGAAGTAACAAAGGACTGCAAATCTAACCACCAGGCTCACCTTTTAGGATGGCTACACAGAGAAAAAAAAGAGCTACGGTTGGTTGTGGAAGAATATAATCAGGAGATAAAGGAATTATTTATGTGATTAATATTTGTATTGAAGCGTGATGAAGTTGACCGTTTAAGTTTAATTGGGGGCGGGTACTGGTGGTTTGTGGGTGTTGATTAGGTGGATTATTATGATTGTGGGCCGTTGATTAGTTAGAAAAAAGAAATGATTAGAAAAGAAAACTCTTGTTAAAACTCAGTTCAGGAATTAAAATAATATAGACATTGTGAATTAAAATAATATATACATAGGGAGCGCCCATCGGCAGCATAATTGGTAGTGCAGTAATACTTATTTTTAAAATATTTTTTATTTATAAATATATTAAAATAATATATATTTTTTATTTTTTAAAAAATATTTTTGATATTAATACATTAAAAAAATTAAAAATATCAAAAAAATTATTTTTTTGAAATAAAAAATTAATAAACAGGTTTTTAATTTATCAGGTATTTGTACATTTTAATGGTATTTAGTGACTATGTAATTGGAATTTGAAAAATATACAAATTAAATGTCCATTTGTAACATCATTCCAAAGTAAGAATTAATTTGCAGAAAAATACGTAATTGATGTTTACTTGGGAAAGTTCCTTGCAGTTTAAAAACATATTTAGTACAGTGATTGCGAAGTTTTTTCCTCTGAATATTTCTTAATTAAAAATACATTGGAAACATAAATTAATATTTTTTCAAATAAAATATATTACAAAAATAAACACTCACTAAATCTAGCTTAGAACTCATCCACTCATCATATTAGTCCACCAATCCTTTCTATTAGTTGAAAACATTTCTTCTGTAATTCCTTACATAAAAATTTTAAAACAATACTGGATATTTGCAAGATAAAACTCCAAAATAATATTTTTCCTTATCGCTCAAGAAAGAAAAGAAATCTTTTTAGATCCAAACTCATAGCGGATGATAGAATTAAAGTGTTTCTTATAGGTAAGAAGAAACCCAGGAAATGATGATAGATTACGTAAAGAGGAGAAAAGCATGCAACTTGGCCTAGGAAATTTCAAAGTCAACTCAACCAGAGATGATCATGGCCAGCTCGATAGTTAATTATGTTAACATTGATTTTTTTTAAGAGAACAATAACAATTTGAAATCGGTCAACTTTTTATATTATTCATGATCATACATATAATATAATTATGATTTCTTCTTATCTAAAACAATTATTTCCCTCGGAAGTCCATTTCTATGGAGTTAGTGAATTACCTAAGATTGGTCATTTGTCAGGATCTTATGATCCTAATTGCCTCATCAAGGAGATTATATGACTGCCTTTTCCTCGTTACTATGATATTGGGATGCCTCCTTTTCAAGTAATTCCCTTGCGTTTTCCTCCATCTTTCTTTAATTACTTGCACAAATAGTGATATTTGACCCTCTATCCTCGTGCAAATATAAATACTCAGTGTAATGCTAAGAGATTATACGACTGCATCCTGAATTCAAGATTCGGGTGCAAAAAGTTTACTACTCAGACACCATTTTTCAAAGAAAAACACCAACGGGTGCATTAAAATAAAGGGGTTGTGTTTTTACTATACACTATTTATTTTAAAAGTATTTTCTTTCTAAAATTATGTTTTTTTTTCTTTTTCTAATTTGATGCTTTTAACTTTTGGATTATTAAAAATTAAGTTTCATAAATTATTGTGGTTAATTCTTGTCATGAGTTTGACAAGTTAACTCGATTGACTATAATTTTTTTTCTTTTTAAATTGGTATTTTTTTTTTATTTTCATCCTTCAATAGTAGGTTAATTAAAAATTAGTCTTCATAATTTATTTCAGCTTGCTTTCTATGAGGTTATCTCGGTTTCATGATCGTGGTCACAAGTTTGATAGGTTAACTTAATTAACTTGACTTTTATTTTTCTTTTTTTAATTGGCATTTTTTCAATTTCAACATTCGGCATTGAGTTAATTAGGAATTAGGCTTTATAATTTATTTTGATTTGCTTCTTATAAAGTTACTCTAATCCTATGACTTGGGTCATGTGTTTTATGGGTTCAAGTTGTTTTATTATGTTCTATTTTTAGATTATTATTATTTTTAATTTTATCATCCAACAATTAGTTTATTGAGAATTAAACTTTATAATTTGTTTTGATTTACCTTCTATGAGGTTACAATAGTCTAATTACCTTGATCTCGAATTTGTCAAGTTAGTCCGAGTTGACTTAAGTCATTTTTTCTATTCACTTTATATAGGTTTATCATAGTCATGAACCTTGTCATGAGTTTGACAAGTCAACTCAAGTTGATTTGTTTTTGTTTTTTTATTAATATTTTCAATCTTATAATTCTTTAACACTAGGTTGATTGGAAATTGAATTTTATAATTTATTTTGATTTTATATGGGGTATCATGATCTCATAATCTAGATTGTGAATTTAACAAGTTAATCTGGATCAATTCAATATGTTACCTTTTTAATATTATTATTTTTTTAAAAAATTATCTTGCATTTTTGTATGTCGAACTATATTTTTACTAGTCAAGTTGATCAAATTATATCAGTTCAATTTCCGCATGATTTAATTAGTTTCTTACTATAAAAATGTTAACAATGCCTGGTATGTCAAAAACAAATTGGTTGATATGTCACATAGTGTAATGCAAATCAATAATCCAATATTCTACAATTCAAATTAGCGACAAAAACAAATTGGTTGATATGACACATAGTGTAATGCAAATCAACAATCCAATATTCTACAATTCAAATTAGCGAGGCTTGATGACTTTTATTTACAAAAATAAAAGGATTAAAAATCAAGCCAAACACCAACTTGACTAACATGGTTGTCATTAATTACAAACTATGGATTATGATGATGATAAGAAAAAAGGTGTCAACTAAAAGATCATGCTTTACATTTCTAAAAAAAAAATTGAGTATTAGTGACTATCTAATTTATTGCACATAAAACTAAAACCTAATATTGAAGAAAATTAGCAATGAAATCATCAATAGAGAATATTATATATAGATTTGTTATTATTGATTTATTAGTAATCCATTATTGATATTAGTAATAGATTTTTCATTGCTTATAATTTAACAAAAAAAAATATGTTGTTGATTATATGCTACACGTGAATGTTGCATATAATCAACATTGGATTTGTTATTACTGGTTTATAAATTATTTATAATCATCAATGAAGAATCTATTGCTCATTATATGACTTTTTTTAATATTAATTTATATTTTTTTACCCAAATTATTTATTTAATTATTTTTGGATATTTTAAAAGTAGTAGAATATATATAAACAACATACACTAATATTTAAAATTACTTTATGAAAAATAATAAATGGAATAAAAATAAAATTCATAATACAATTAAAAATTTAGTTAAACTTCCATTAATACAAATAAATCACAATATAATAAAAAGACACAATCATAATACTTGTAATGAACTAAAATACTATAGATGGAAGTAAGATGGGCAAAGATATGATGATAAAGGTCTAAGTTGATATACTAGTTGATGGAGATACGGGACCTATAAGTTCCATTATATTTGGAGTCATATAAGGTGACATCAATGAGGTAACATGTGACGGTATCGGTGGGGCCATAGGTTTCATTATACCTTGGCTTTTAACTGATGTCCCACTATAATATCCAAAATTATTTATAAGAATTCTTTTAATGAAATCCATTTATCGTTTTATTTCAACAATAAATCATTTTTTTCTCATTTTTTTTTTGCAATTCTTGATAAGATAAACTATAATATGATGACTCCACCAAGTAGAAATATGATGAAAAACTTGTATTAACTATATACTTTGACATACGAGATGCACCATATACCCTATCTTTTGTAACTTTTCTTGAAGTCACACACTAAGCTTCTCCATCAAATGAAAAATGTTTTTCTTGATCAATCACATGCTTTGAAATCACCTTCTTCTTATAATTTTCCTTTAAAAAAATATATATGTAATATTAAATTCATTTGAATGTTAAATAATATTTAAATTATATAAATAAATAAATAAAATTTCATATAACCACATTTTTAAATTTATTGTTTACAAATACATCTTCGCATAGAAGTTCTTTCCCGCCCGCTTGTTCTTGCTATCAATATTAATTTTTTTTTTGTAAAAGATAAATATAAATTTTTTTAATTCATTATCTTAAACCAAAAAAATAAAATAAAAATCTTTATCATTCTAACTCGATACGATGAAAACAACATTGCTTCTTCATAATTG